TTTTGTCGTTGTTCAACAAGGCTTTAAAACATGGCTAATCCAATCAGAATTTAGAGTCGTAAATATACATTTAAAATTTCTCCTTTGTAGGTCCGCAACAACTATATCTGTGGAGAGATGAAGTCGTGCTCTCTGGAACGGGCCGCCACGATACGCCGCCCTGTCAACTTTGCCAGAAGAGGTTTGAAGAACCTTCGAATCAGTCTAACACCATATCTATAATTATCCTCTGCTCTTTTAATTGAGTGGACCAGTCAGTTCCTCAAGAGTTGCCGCCACTGTACATGAGCGCTGAGATTTGCATATGATAATCATAGACAAAACGCAAGTAAGTTGAGAGAAGACGAGTGTTTACAGCATTCCTACCTTCTGCAGATAACGGGCATCTCCCGTTTTAGGAACGTTCTCAAAACATCAGAGCGAGTGCAGTCCTTCCACGATGTGGCAGGTTCAGGGAGAGGTAGAATTTCTTTCTACTGAGGGAATTTGACCCAGACTGATTTGTTATTACCAGCAGAGCCAAAGTAAGAAGAGAACTACCTGAAGTGAGGAGTAAGGAACCTTCCAGACATGCTGCCTCGAAGGAATCGTTCATCCAAAAAATGGAACTTCATTATTTACTCACCCTCATGTTGTTCCAAACCTGTATGATCTTTAGTTTCATGAAACATAAAAGAAGAAACTTTAAAGAATGTTCATGCTGCTTATTTCCATAAAATAAAACATGATGACAGTGGGCTATAAAAACCAACTTTTATGAATTGTACGCTATATATATAAAGTCTTCTGAGGTCCTTGCCACTGTCTGCTTTTTTTTATGGAAAACAGCAGCATGAACATTTCTCAAAATATCTTTATTTGTTTTCCACAGAAGGAAAAAAAGGACATGAGAGTGAGTAAACAATGACTGATTTTTATTTTTAGGTGAGCTATCCTTTTAATATAGTGTCTTTGCCCTTTAAACTTTATATTAATTAGATACCAGAATATACACTACTGGTCAAAAGTTTGGAATTTTTAATTTAATTTTTAAAAAGGTCTCGTATGCTCAAAAGTCTGCATTTATTTGACTGACAATACATTAAAAACAGTGATATTGTGAAACAACTTAAAATGACTATTTTCTGTTTTAAAAATAAAATGTCTTTAAAATGTATTCAGTATCACATGATCCTTCAGAAATCATTCTGATATCTTAATTTTGGTGCTGAATTATTATTGCTACTATATTTTTGAGGAACTCATGATCAGTGTTGGGGTAACGCATTACAAGTAGCATGAGTTATGCAATCAGATTACTTTTTCAAGTACCTAGTAAAGAAATTATTTACTTTTAAATTCCAACGAAATATCTGAGTTACTTTTTCAAACAAGTAACGCCAGTTACTTTTTCACATTTATTTATTGACATCTTTCCTGTCCTGCAAAATTCAGCTTTGCCATCACAGGAATAAATAACATTTTAAAATA